GTTAGGAAAAAATCTTCCAGGGCTTGCTGTGGAGCAGCACTGAAAGAAAATAGGGGAATTTTGTTAGGACAGCAGGCAAAAGATGCAATCAGGTGGTTCAAATAACATCCTACCAGTGTATGTCAGGATGAAGCTGCTGCCCCAGAGGCAGTGACAGGGCAGTGATGGTGGGGGACTCGAGTAGAGCCCTACAGATCAGAGGACTCTCAAAAAATGAAACCCAAGCTCTGAACCCACAGCTCTGGACCTGATGCAGAGCTCGTTGAGGGTGCCATGCTCTGAGCTGATCCCTCTGGACTGAGCGCCTGTCCTTAGGTGCATAAAAGCTCCTCAGGTACGTGAAAGCTCCAGGACTCTCAATTTTTTGTGTGGGTGGGTGTTTTTTTTTTTTTTTTTTGGCAGCCATCCTCCGAGCCCCAGGGCTGTGGCTGGGGCCTGCTGCATGGAGCCCTGGCCGATCTCATGCAGCTCCCCCTCAGGCCTGCACTGGCCCTTGAAGGAAGGTTGCATGCGGAGAAGCCATTTTCCCGCCCACGGCGCTCGCTGCCATTTTGTCTCCCTGTCCTGAGCACTTCACTCCTTCCTTCCAGGGCGCTCCCGTCCTGTCCCGGCTGGTCTGTGTCTCCCCTGGTGCCCTGGGCAGTAGGTGGGGCTGTGGTAAGGGCTCCTGCCTCCAAGCTGAAGCCGTCCCTGCCTATGTGGGATGGCCGCCATGTGTTGCTCGGGCAGGGAGAGAAATGAGGACAATGATGGGCCCACGCAAGAAAAAAATCTTTTTACAGTGTAGAGCCCAGCCTGGGTTTGGGGGCGCAAGCTCGTTTGGTGCCAGACACCAGTTTGGGGTGGGGTGGTGGTGCCAAAGGATTCATAGTTTTTTTTATTGTGATTTCCATCTTGTCCTTTCTCTCAGAAGAAGGTCTGGTCCTGGGCGTTGGTGAGAGAAAGTTCCCTCAGCTCTCCTCGGGAGCTCGGCCCCGGCCTCTGAACGGGTACATGAGGGGCCCAAGTGCATGCTGCAGCTTCCCCTGCCTGGGCCTGTGGCGTTTTTAATCCTAAATCGCCTGTCTAATAATCTTCCATTGATACCTGTGTTCCCAGTGCTGTATCCTTTCCCCGATTCAGCTGCAGTGTGAGGTACGTCATTTAACAATATTTAACTTCTTTTGAGGCAAGAATATTAATATGCCTTGGAGGGGTAGCCGAGGTGACTTTCCTGCATAAGTGGATGTGAATTCTTCCATATAATGGGATGGGAATAGGTTTGAGGGCCTCATTGTTCAGCAGTTTTTGTAAGGCAAAATTTGGGATATCTTTCTGTGAGAGTTTAGTTTGAAATGCTCTTTTAGAGAAACCACTTTGTTCTCAGGTAACTGCTTACATTTTTAAAGTGTAGACTGTCTATTCCTTTTCTAGTGTCTTCAACAGATCATTATACTAATGCCCAATGAAACAGTTAACAATCCTTACACAAGGTGCCAGGTATAAAGACTTCGAAAGCCATTTAGGACTTTATTATAAAAGTTTGAACAGGCGTTCTCTGAAAAATGTCAGCAGTTCTCTCGTATTAAAGGTTATTAAGATTTGGACAACTTGATGGTTCCTTTTACAAAAAAATAGAATCTGACAACTATTTGCTGAATATCAGTAATGTCTCTGAGGGTACCCATGAAATAATAAGAGGCATTGAGACGGGCTAACAAAGCGTCCATAGCCCGACTTTGGTGTTAATAGAGAGGACTTGAGTGTGCAGTAACTCACAGGAATGGGCAATAATGCTGTGTTGGCAGCTTGAAAATAACTGATTTTTTTTTAATTTATTTTAATAAAGTCAAAGCTTTTTTACTTTGAGGAAGGAATGAACTCACATTTTAAAGCAGTTTAATATTAAGCCCAAAACCTCAATTAAAGTGGTTTGCAACCCATCGCTTTTCTTTCCTCCCATGTAAATGGCCTTTTATATACAAACTGCCTCATTAAATTCAGTTGGACTTCCCAGACAGGAGAAGGAGGGTAAATATTTTTCAGAGGCTGGTGCTAATGGAGTCATTTGAGCTGAATAAATAAATAAGATTTACAGATCTTTATTTGAGAAGCATAGGTAGAGTAGTTCTAGTAAAATTCATAACTTAGCCAAATACAAACAATAAAGAATTGTCTACTTCAGATGGCTTGAAATGCTTTTTATTGAAAACAGATGCTATTTAGGTCAAAACATTTGCGTTAAAAAATAACTTGTTATTCTCACTATGAATATTTTGAAGTGATTTGTTAAGATCTAAAAAAAAAATCTAAATTATTTTTCTCAAGTTACAGATAAAGAATGGCTTATTCTAGTTCAGCACGGGACTTTGTTGCACTTTCAGATCTGCATCCAAATCTTGCTCGTCCTGTAAGTCTCATAGACATAGTACTTTTGTTCTCAAATGAAATTGTATATGACTGTATTATATTACTGCAAAATTATGTAATTGATGTGTATTTAGATACTAATAGCATTAGTATAATTGTTAGATATAAAGTACCTTACCTTCTTTGTGTATAAACCAGCAAAATGAAAGTTGATGCTGTTGTTGTCCATAGTATGTGGATACCACAACTATAGATATTGACTGGACAATTCAATGTCTGAAAGTATCAGAGGCTTCTTTGTAATGTTTTAAATGGATGCTGAATTACTAAAGACATGTACAGAGTCAGCATTATGTAGTCACAATACATCTGTAACCTACAATAGTCTTTCACTGCAAGTTACGGACGTAGGGCCCAATCCTGCAGTCTTCACGTGTGCTCAATCCCTCTGAGCTAAATAACACAGTCCTGAATTATTCAAACAAAACTCTTGTTGAATGGTATAGTGTTTTAACTGGATAAAAATATCACAATTATATGTCAGATAGGATCTTTTCCATTTCTTTAGAACAAAAAGCAGGTTTTGCGGTTGTCAGTTTATAAGGAGCTAAGAATTTTGCTCGTGGGAGTACAGGAGAGTAGGATCAACCAAAAAGTAAACTTAAACAGCAAAGCTTTCTAGTTGGTAGATTCGTACAGATGTTTGAGTGTGATTTTTTTTGTTGTTGTTGTTGTCCTGATATGATTGAGGACCATCATCACTGGAGGACGAGCTGAACAGGGGAGTGTGCTGTAAAACTCAGTATTTTTCGCTTTTGGGTTTTACATGGTTGAATAAAAAATAGGAAGTCTGGGGAGTGGAATTTTTCATTCTTTGTTCTCCAAGATGATGTTTTAATATGGGATAGAGAAGACTACATTATTCTCTGTTGCAGTATTTCCCACTCTTCACTGTTGTAGCCTACCAGTGATAACGTGTCTTCTGAGTGTTCAGTGCTGCTGGGATTTGGAGCCTGGAGAACAAAACAGAGAGGCGGCATTTCCACATGGATGCACTGTGAGCTGCGGTGCGGTGTTACAGCCCTGTCCCCCCGTGCAGCTTAAAGTAGATGCACGTCTAGAGCTGTATGCCCCATGGAAGTCCTGATGCTTGTGTAGAGAGTGAAAACAAGGAGTTTCCCTGTTTCCACAGCTTTTTATTTGGGAGGGGCACAATTTAGCCCTTATTTTCATGTTTATTTTAAACAAGTGAAAGAGAAATCTCAGAAAAGGGATGAACTAGGAGGAGCTTTATATGCCCTCAACGCAGTATTGTATATTCTTTCCAACTTTTTATAAACTCCTGGTCTCCAGCAAAGCTAATTTAATCTGGCATTCACCGTTACTCTCAGAGTGATCCACTAATTCAGTTGAAAGCTTTTATTTTACAAATAAAACTAATCTTGAGTATTGCAATTAGCAACATATAGTAAAGAAAGTATTTTTTATAAAAAACTTATCCACTAGTAACTCATGATAAATAGATCAGTATGTGTTTAGGACACTAAAACAGCTGAGCACACATCATTCAAAGTATCAAAATGTCATATTTTTTTACTTGGCAGTTTATTGTTTTAAAGTGAAATAGATCAAAGTCCAAGAAACTTGCAGTGTGTTAATGCTGTAGTCTCATGATTCGGTTGAGCGGTCTTAAGCAATGCTTTGCCAAAAAAGGCAGTATGGTCCGCTTCCTCATTGCAGGCGTGTTCTGCTCCTCCTCTTGGTGAAACTAGTGCTTGTGTAGTTGCACAATAAGCTGATCAAGGAAATGGAAGTTTTTCTACCCGCTTCACACACACCCCCACCCCCCAAAAAAAAAGATAGTTTGCAGCCAGATCACTTCCTTCTGCCAGCTTGCTGTGCAGGCTTAGTGCTAATACGAGAGAGATTAATACATTCGCAGCAGGGACAGGGGAGGGCTCTTTTGGAGATTGCAGATTTACATCAGCTTAATTCATGTGAAGAGTCATCCTTAATTGTCAGTTCCTCTGACTGGTGGTGAGATGCAGGGTATGTTGCACTCTGATTTAATCAAAATGTTTGTTTCTTAGGAAACAAAGCCATAAATAGAAAAATAAAATCCTAATCTAAATTACTACATGTTGTTGGCAGATAGAAAATACTCTGTTAGAAAGACTGGAAGAACTAGGATATTACACTGTTGTACACATATGTCCTCTCAATGGGTTCATTTCCATCACCCTAGGATAAGACAGTTACCTTGCTCCATCTAGTGATTCAAAGTAAACTGGGAACACGAGATCTAATTTTTGAGCACGGCAAATTGTTACAGTGAAGTCACTCAGGCTGCATTGCTTTGTGAGTGGGGGCAAAACTCAGCCTGTGTTGATCCTTAAATTGTTACACTGCCCTTTACTAGCTGCCTGCTGTGGTTCCCCTGCTTGAATCAGAAAGTCAGGCAGTACTGCAAGTAAGTGCACATGTGAAGTGGAAGAGATGTGGGGCACCTCACGTTTTGAAGGATCCTTGCGGTATTGTAATGTCAGTCTCTCCTTCCAGTCCTTGTTACCATACAATTTTCATTGATTACCTCTTAAATTCCCAAACTAGCACTGCAATACCACTACACAGCTATATATTATCTATGTATCTATATTTTTTTTTTATCTCTCTCTCTCTCTCTCTCCCTGCGCGTGTTTGCTCTGAGTAGTTTTGTTTGACAATTGAGACTGGGGTGCTTTTGCGTAATAAATAAAGGCTTAGTGAAGCAGAATAAGAATTTTGGTTTGAATCATCAAAAAAGGTGATGGCCTAAGCTCCCTTTGTAGTCTGTTGAGAGACAGACAGCAAGAAAGAGGCTCCTATAGAAATTTATGTTGCTTAGATGAGGAAAAGATAAATGGCCCTTCCTGTGGATGTGCACGTGTGTATCTCGGTGCTGACAGCAGGGGAAACCTTGGACACTTAACTGTAAAATAAATCCTGTCCAGACTTTTCATGGTGCATTTAAGGAGATCTGAGACCCGTGTAGAGAGCGTGAAACAACAATATTGCTGCCTACCTGAGGAGAGATTGCTGTATAACAGCCAAAATTGTGAATGTTTTGGGTGAACTTTTGTCCTCCCATTGTCTTTACAAACAGAAACAGATGTATGTATTCTAATATTTTTATTAGTCACTCTTAAAGTAAAATTGTATGTTTATGTTTTAGTCCTTAGTTCATATGGTACTATGGAATAAATAGATTAAAATGATTACCAGTCAGAAATATGTTTATTATCATCAGTAGAGTACAAGTCCATGAAATCTAATTCATCATGTACATCTGTGTTTAATACTTGTATTCTATAATCTCTTTATTTTTTAGAATGTAATCGGTGTGGTTATTGGGAAAACAGATGTCAGAAGCTTTCCAGACAGAAAAAGTACAGTCCCTTTAAACTATTTTTACTTCATTTTCTTATACAGTATAATTTGGCATATATGACTGAAATCAATATTTAAATGATAAACAAACTTCTTAGTGTAAAATGTATAGAATAAAAATGTGCCAAAAAACCCCCAAAACAGTGTGTGTGTGAGAACCAAGATAAAAGAGCAGCATTAGTTTGGCTGAACCTTATCAATTAGAATTCGTTTGGAAAAACTCGGTCATGGAAGTGTTTTAGGGTCTGAAGAAGATGGTACCAGTATCAACCCACTATTATATAAATACCGCTGGAATTGATTCTGGTCCCTTCATATTCATTCTCTCTTAAAACAGAAATGTTAGGGAGATGTCTTGAGGACTGAAACAAGTAATTTCTGGTCTGAGTAGCACCAGCTTCATCTTAAGGTACACTCCTAAAGAAAAAATTGGAATAATACATTGTTAATACAGCATTAGTTGGAAATTGAAATAACGTATCTACAGCGTAGGGCTGATACAGACACTGTAAGGAAGTGTCTCCAGCCCTAGAGAGCCATTCCAGCTCTGTGTGCAGTGCTCAGTTCTTCTGTTGGCATTGTCATCATGCTGAGCTGCTCTAATGGTGAATTTTTAGAAGGAAGTCATCATTGTCACTGGAAACATTTCAACATAGTCTGAAAATGTGGTGTTCATATTTATGCGTCCATGGAACTACAGTCAGATTATGCTTACTGTATGCAGATCACTATACAGTTTTCATTGATAATTTGAAAATAACATATTGCCTAATGCTGTATGATCCATGGAAAACTTTGTTAATTAGCTGTAAGAGAAAAGAGAGTGCAGCATTTTCGAGACTGATACCCTCTTGACCATGAACTTCCCATAGAGCTGGAAACACTTTGTTTTATTCAGTTAAACCTCTTGGTACTATCTGGACAGGGATACTGTTTGTGGTCTGCAGCCTTGTATGTCATTGCAGTGGTCTCCTACATGGGCGCAGCCATCTAAAGGCAGGCTACCTGCTACAAAGTTTGGGCTAGTATGTACATAGTGTTGCATCATGCGTTAACCCTGTTTATGTGTTTGTCCATGCCTTCGATGTAGCATCGTACAGTTCTTTTATTTCTCTTGCATTAGAGCTGTAAGTTTATATGGTGCTGTGTAAATTTAAGTGGTGTATAGATAGGATGGCACAGGTACAATCACCGCAAGAGTTGTAGCCGTCCCCATTCATGAACACCGGTGTGCTTACTGAACAGTCTGCTGACCTCTAGTGGTACTCACCAGACTGCGGGTAATAAATGTAGGAAAACCTCGAAATAATAGTTTTTGTATACATATTCTAGATTGAAATCAAGCTGTGCTAATGAATTGTAACAGTGCTGTTTATTTTTGCAGACATTGGGTCTGAAAGATACACCTTCAGTTTTACTATTCGTGATTCACCGACTTATTTTATAAATGTAAATTCTTGGGGCAGAGAAGAATATATTAGATCACTTTCAGAAAGCTTTAGAGTTGGTGATTGTGGTAAGCCAGAGTTTATTCTTAACATGTTTCTGTTTGAATGTGTTTTTTTTTTCCAGTAAATCAGTGTTATGTGTTTGTGGTTTTGCTATATTTTTCTCTGAGGACTCAGAAAACAGTCTAATTGGAAACATCATTCAGTTATGTTAAGTATAAAGAGGAAAGGAATAAGATTTCAATGATTTAAATTCAAAACCAGTAAATATGTCAACAAAAAGGCCAGATACAAACCCACTGAATGCAGCCACCCAGAACTTACCTAGAGCTAATCAATCTAAATTCTTACATTAGATGAAGTTCTTATAAATTACGAAAAATAAAGTCTGTAAAGTAGTTTGGTGTTTTTCTTTGTTTTCATTTAGTTATAGATATGACTATGGTTGTTCATCAAAACACAACAAAAATCTTGTATTTATTTATGGTGTGTGCTTTTATCTTGTTAAGTTAATAGACATTGCTGCCCATGGTTGTTAGATCAGTGTTTGGATAAAACTTGTGACTATGAAGAGTATACACACAAGAACTCAGTGTCATTTTGTTTCCATTCAATGTCTTGAGGACTCCTGTGGGTCTTTGGCTATAATATGAGCTGTCTGGACAGATATGGTTTTCAGTATGAAAACATTTACCGGTAGTTACTGCACGTATCATTTCCTTTCCATACCAACCTCGAAAGCAACCATTTTAAAAAGCCACTTCTCTTTATATATATCTACATTCAGTTTTCTAACATTATTTATCAATGTTTTATTTTAGTTACAATTGAAAATCCTTTAGTTCAGTCAAAGGAAGCGGAAAGGGAAGAAAAATTCAACCCCATAACTCCTAGGTAAATTTAAAGCCTAGACTGGTAGTTCTTTCCAGGAAGATCAAAGTCAATACTTGCTTTAGTTGCCAGTGGATTGCACCAGCGTGCAATTGGTAGAAGTATTTGGGGTTAGTCGTCTTATGTGGCATACCTTCCTCCCTGTGTTCAACCATGTATGGTAAAGTAATCTCAAAAGAGAATCTGTTTCTCAGAATAGGGTCTTTGGAATTTTGTCCTAAAGTAATTATGCTCTTCGTATCTAAACAGAGTAAATCTCATTCTTTGAGTAAAGTCCACAAAAATTATTTGAAATTGATTTGATTTTGCTGAAGTGTTTTATGGAAGTTATGTTCTTATCAAAATCCATTCACGTGACATGTTTATCTAGAAGGTATTTTAATATGCTGCAATGCTATTCGTTACTCATTTGGTAAAGCATTGTCATTTCTTTTCTGTATCATGCAATGTATATATGTTGTCTTTCAGTGTATTATCTAAAATCAACAATTTCAACAGGTGTATGAAACTAACATGTTAATTATCTAAGATGTAGATGTTAGGTAGAGATATACTAATACACCTGTTCTTTAATTAGGGTTTCTTTCCTAATTGATCCTATTCTAATATTTTCAATCATATGGCTGTTAAAGGAGAAGCTGCTGCCTGAGCATTCACACCGCATCCAAGGAGATGTGTTCACTGCTCGGACCAGGGTTCCTTTGCAGCGGGTGACCCCAGTGAGCCCACGGGTACCCCTTTTGATTACACACACGTGCGTGCACACACACTCTCTCTGTCTCTCTCTCGGGTGCGCCCCCTTCTTCTTCAGGCTTGACCCTAGGTTTCCCACAGCAGAGTCTCAGGCGTCGGGTTTTATAAACATAAATAATTTAATTGAAAGGTTCCGCAGCAGGGTCAGCGCGGGCTGGGTGCCTCCAGAGAGGGATGTTGAACAAGGAAATCCCCAGGCAATTATACCCTTGCGATCTACACACCCGCCCCTCACGCGCTCTTCACACCATTTAGTCCAATGGTGATTTTTGGTCTGGGGTCTTCTAGGACCTTCTTGGATTCCTTCTCTGTGTCCAGCCAGACCGGCCCTTGACTGCTCTGCTCTTGCTGAGCTGCAGTCTCTGCTGGTTTATGCTTCTTGTGCACCTGCGCTCACTGGCAGAACATGGGGAACTGAAAAGTCCTGGACTTAAGGAAATCACTACCAAAACATCAGTGTGTTATGGACATTTTCCTCATACTAAAAGCCCAAACACAGCACTGTACCAGCTGCTAGGAAAATTACTAAGAAAATTAACTCTATTGCAGCCTAAAGGCTTCAGCAAATCTAGTTACTCATGCCAAGAAAAGCTAAGCAAACAGCATAAGTCACACCATATTATAAACCTAAGTAATTTATTGTAATTAAAATCTACTTATTTAAGCTAAAAAACTATCGCTCAACAATGGCAGTCATAAGAACATTGCATTTATGCACATTAAATTGGCAAGTTAGAAGTTTTATGTTCTTGCTTACTGATCATCTCTAAGCTTTGTAGCAAATATATAGCTGTAGTAGTTAGTAGTGTAGTAGTAGTTTTTACTTCCTGGCTAAACGGAAAGAAGTAAAAGTCAGGTAGAAACTTCACAGAGGAAAAGAGCTCCTCTCTAAAGCTATAGGTTTCATAAACATTTGTAAAATATATTTATCCAGAATATATTGAATATATCTTATTTCCACTGGCTAATAGTGCATTATAAATATTTCTTAGGTCATCGGACTATTACTTTAGAAAGTACCTTAGGAAATCCAGTCTGACTGTAGTAGTGTCTTCTTATGTCATGATGCCAAATTTTAGTTACCTGGATTACAGGCATTTCAGAACTTATTTTTAGTGATTGATAAGGGCTGAAAGACTTACAAATATGTATTGTACATTGCTAGCATTTCAATTCTAAATAAGTATAAAGTACACAATAATAAGTCTTCCGTAAGAGTAAAGTATATAATTTTTAAAAAATATTTTTAGAACAAATTAATTCAAACTTTTCCGTATCTTTAGAGAAAACAATAGAGGAATAAATCAGCAGTATTTTTTCTCATGTGAATTGAATCAACATTTTACACTGTTAATACATTGGTGAGCAAAATGTTGATCAATGATGTGATTTGTTTTGTGTATATTATCTAGTTGCTACAAATTATTGCTCAGTGAAAATCATTCCGTGGTCAAAACTTCTTCATGTTATGAAATGGACACCAAACTACTTTCTCTGTTGCATCTGCCTGTCAAGGATCCTCAGGATTATTATTCACTGGGTGATATCATTGCAAATGGACAAAGCCTGGATGGAAGAATCCTTAATGTGCTTGCAGCTGTAATGTCAGTAAGTTAAAAAGCCACAACAGAGTAGTGTTTTTCTACTTTACCATGGGTAAGTTAATTGGCTTAAGTGTGAATATGGATTTTTGGGACTCATAGTGGACGGGAATCGCTGGTTTTGTGTGTTTGCTTAGGTTGGCAGTCACTTCAGCTGAGTTATCATAACCATATGAGCTACTTAAGATTTTCATTAACATGAGGGTGGAAATTAAGGGAACGGAAATGTCCTACATCAGTTGTCTTTTTGAAATCATGCATGTGCAAACAGTAGATAACCTGAAAATATGCAAACTGCAGATTTTTATAAAACAAAATGTGTCCCTTTGTCTTGAAGTAAAATTACTGTTGTTAAACTTTTAGTGGTGTACGTGGGTTTGGGGGTATTTTTTAGTGATCTACGGGGTGTTTTCCCCCCTTTTTTTAACTCTTCTATTTTCTAGGATATCACTTTTTTTCTCCTGATTGAGGAAAAGTGACTGCTTCTCTTTCTTCTTAAAGGTTGGGGAACCAAAGTATTTTATGACTTCAGACAAAAGAAAAGGTCAGAGGTGTGAAGTAAAGCTGTATGATGAAACGGAGATATCTTTCCCAATAGTATGGTAAAATGTTTTTTAATTCACTAAAATATACAAATTAATGCAAGAGTAGGTAAAGTAATTATCTATAATACATATTGTTATAACACTATCTTTTAATTTAAACATATTGTTATTTGGGTGGCAACTGTGATGAGGCAGCAATGTACACCAAACAAAGGCTTAAAAAAAGAGAATCATTAGAGTAACCTTATATACATTGTCTAGTTTTATGACTTACTGACAGACTTCTAGCTCATGAATGGCAAAATGCAGCTTAGTTCCAAATAGTCACATTTTTTAATGTGGAAATTTGAACTAATTCAGGAAATGGCACTTAAGAACAGCTGCAAAGGCAGTACATTTCTTCCACAAACTATGGGGGAAAGGAGAGGAGCATGCTTCATTTTTAAAACCAAGCAGAATTAATAAGTAGAGTAGAAATAGGTTGAAATAGTTTTTAAATGTTTAAAATAGCACAGAAACATTCTGATACTATTTTGGCCATATTTTCAAACAGTATCCTATTTACAAACATGACTGTGTTCATGCCATTTATTCATGTAAACAGTGATTTATTTACACAGGAACATTTGCATTTTGCCCATGGCTTGTTCAATAAACTCATGGCTTATCTACGTGCATGGGTATGTGTGTATTCATTTGCGCTGGGTTTGCTGACTGTTGGTTGAAATGACCTTTGTTCCTTAGATAGGAATAGCAAGATAGCATTGCACTCCGTGTCCGAGTTAGAAACTGTGTTACCCTTCAGTGTAATGTTTAACACAGTTAATGTATACACGTGAACACTAATAAGCATCTATAGTGTGAAGATTTCTAGCCCTTGAGCTGCCAACAATGTTAATTTGCAGCAGCAGCTCTGGCACTCTTGTTTCAGTGCTGATATGTAGTGATACAGAGCTGTATACTTCAGGAGTCCTCAGAAGCAGAGACGAGGTGGTGTCACTGTGGTTACCCTAAACACTGCCTTTTGTGCCTTCATGGAGTCATAGGTAGAGGCAAAGATTCAGGAAATCCTTGAGCAACGGCATTGTAGTGAAGGTATTTCAGAGGCGTATATCTTAGATCTTTTTCCGAGGATTAAGAGAAAAACCCCACCAGAACGAAACTGCACTTTGGCAGTATTCTTGCCGTCCAAACTTACGAGGAACTGAATGAGATTTTATCAAAAGGCCTAACCATCACATTATCATTTTTGAGGGATACCGCTGACCTCACTCTAGTCTCATCATCCACAGTTACAAGGATTGCAGTGTTGGAAAGCAGGCTGAACATCTGGCATAGTGATGTGAGCAATTAAGTTGTTCCCACAGCAAAGCTTCAGCTGATAAGCAGTTATTTTAACTGTGATTTGCTTTAGTTAGAAATTACTTTGTCAAAGCTCTGAAATACACACAGTATTTTTCCAGGTATATTCTTCATTTAATCATTTTGAACAATCTAATAGCCCTTTATTTTATCCTGTTTGGCATGGGATAAAATAGGGGCTGTGTTAGACTGTACATAAAGCATCCTGGCTGGCTGCAAACTAGATGCCTGTGGATATACGTGGCATTTCATTTACATGTGTATGTAATAAAGGAGTTGTGTCCCCTTTGACCGATTTAATTATTACTATATTATTTAGTAGTTTAGTACTGAACAGTTTGACTGCTGTCTCAAAAATGTTTTGATACATTAACTTTTTTTTTTTAATTTAGTTGGGATAATGAATCTATCCAGCTTGCACAGAGTTGGATCCCACGAGAAACAGGTATAACAATCTGTGTTTTATGTTTTTATTGTAGTTCTTAACATGATACTTATTCTACAGTAAGAGGTGTTTTTTTTTGTGCACAGTAATATTTGCATCAGATGTGAGAATAAATTTTGACAAATTTAGGAACTGTATGACTGCAAC